AAGAATATAAAGTTAATAGTACTAATAATGGTTATATTACTCTGTATATATAGAGAGATAAAAATACCCTAAAAGTTTTATATATTTTATTAGTACATATTGAGTGCTCCTTGAAAGCAATCTTAACCATTATTAGTACTGCTAGTTTTTTTTTATTATTAAGCATTATTATTTATCAATACCATCATTACTGTCAACAGTACTGTTTTATTATTTGGGTTGTTGATTGGTGCCATGGAGCCAATTTCCACTCACGGCAGCGTGGTGTGTGCAGACCAAAACTGCTTCATAGAGCTAGCAGGGCTGTGACCCCGAGGTCCCTCTGGGCAGGGGTCCCACTACTCACCTCACCTCTCAGCCAGCAGTGAGGTGTTTAGCCCTTGAACTCTCCAGACATTTTAAGCTGTATATCACGGAACGATTCTCAGACACAGCGTAGGCTTTTTATACTGCAGTCTTGAAAGCAACTCTGCTGTGTCAGCCTTGCAATTCTACTTCACAGATGAAGAAACCGAGGTGCCAAGAGAAAAGACCGGTGACTCATAACGGAGCTGTGTGGCTTCCACACACTCCCTACCATTAGTTGGTTCTATTTGTAACATGTCTGGACACGCTAGGAGAGAAGGAAAAAGGAAGTGCAAGCACATTTCACAAATCTGCAATCTGTCAGTACTACACCCATGACATCCTGTGTATCTCTAAGTACTGGATGAAGGAAGATCTAGAAGATGAAGACAAGTAAAACATGCTGGCTAGACTGAGTGAGGACCTGGAGCTAACATCTCCTGGGGACTTCTGAAAGCTCCAGTGGAACCAGCAGGCTAGCCCACAAACACAGGTAGGCAATGCAGAGACTTTCTCTGTTCAAAACACCATGACTATCCCCCTCTAGAGGAATTATTTAACTGGCACCTCCTAGAGAACAGTTAAGAGATGCCAAAGTCTTATCTTTCTTTAACTGTTATTGTTGATCTCTTAACAGCATGATTTTGGTGTGTCACTTGCCTAAAGTCACATAATCAGTGGGACAGACAGAGTGCTTGTATCTTCAGAGATTCTCGGACTATTGTGCAAACTAGGGAGATAATGAGCTAAGAGGACGCAGTAAAAATAAATCTAAGCTGAATGACTTGATCTGTAAGGCTAACAAAATTATGGGTCCAGATCTGAGATCAGGCATAACATTCTGCCCTCATGCCACACGTAGAGGTGCCTCTCAGATGTAATACGTTGATACCCAGAGCTGCTGTGGGCAGGTAGCAGTGGAAAGGAGAGGCATGGTTTACTGAGTTGTGCAAAACTTTCAGGTTCTGGGACTAGTGGAGTCAAATCCTGGTTCTATAGCTTCCTTTTGAATGAATTTTCCTTCCTAATAATTACACTCTCAAATGTTTTTTAAGCATTAACACTATACCATCAGATAGAGAAAGGATGTATTGTTTCCATTCAAAACATATCTTGTGACTAGGAGTTTCCATAACTATTACAACATTTTGATAATCAACTATCTGCCATGCAGGATGATTGTAAGAGTTGAAGACTCTGTACAATGAATAAGAAAGAACTAAGAAGAATCAATACCTCTGAATTGTGGGTTTGGAGAAGAATGTGGACTGTACCCTAGACTATCAACAACCAAACAGGTCGATGTTAAATAAGCGAAGCTGAGATGCTTCTGAAACAAAGATGGCTACACACATATTTGAACATGGTATCAGGAAGGTTCAGTCTCTGGAGAAACACATAATGTTTGGAAAAGTGGAAGGAAAGAGAGGAAGCCTTTCAAAGAGATTGACTGACTGACTGATTGATTGATGCAGTAATTACAGCAATAGGTTCCAGCACAATAGAGACTGTGAAGATGATACAGGATCAGGCAGAGTTTTGTGCTGTTGGATGTAGGATCTCTACAAGTTGGCACAGCATCTAACAACAACTTAGGATAATGTCCAGCAAAAAAAGAAAAAAATACATAGAAATAATGCTATGAAAACTAAAACAAGTCAGAAGAGATATATAATATAAAACCTGCAGAAGAAACTGGAAGCAGAGCTCCTAACCGGGTTAAGGCTCGCCAGGTAGTTTAAGGGGGGAAATCATTCCATATGTGACCATGCAGTCTTTGTAGGTGGGACAAAGAGAAATGGAGGTGCCCCATGGATTGAAAACAGCCTTGTGTAAATGTTTGTCTCTGAACACGAGGACCGCTGGAGACTCAGTGTCATCTTCTTGGAATGTGTAATGAATATGTTACATCAAACATTCTAGAAAATTCTTCATGAAATCAAGGTTTTCAGGTTTCTTTGTCTCCGTACTACTAGTTTTTCTTTAGGGGAGGATACCTACAGACTAATGATTTTATAGTTTTTGGAGGCCAGATTTTGAAGGCTCTGCTCATTTTAAGTCAATGGCTTTTGTTGAATTTGTTTTTCTTCCAGAACTGGTGGCATCATGACATCACCACGCATGCCCAATGAAACCGTTGTGGTCCTCACATCAAGTGGCATCAAATTCCCCCAAGCAGAGACCCTTAAACCCTCCATTGAGAGACAGGATAACCTGCTGAAATGTCTAAAGGCTGAGATCAAAGTTCTCGGGGTAAGTAAAATGAAAAAGGGTTCTGGTTGAGAAGATTCAGAGGAGAATGACCGTGTATGTCTGGGGTCTGAAGATCCACTGTAACCCAGAGATGTTAAAGGCTTGCTGACAGACTCCGGACTGACCTAGAGGTCAACAGATGCCGCTTGAAGGGCCATTGCATCTTGCCCCACGCCTTCACCATATAAGGTGGTATATTTTTTAAATTCCATTTCAAGGAATATCTACAGAGATTTTGG